TTTCCCAGAGGGCGCTGCTTTGACTGCAAAAAACATCAATTTGCTTCAAAGATGACGCTTCACCCACTCCATGTAGTATATTCTAGTTCGTTGACTATTTAGCCCTTAATGGACGTTAAAATATTTTATAAGCTTTCCAATAAAATAAATTTAATATTCATAGTTCGATCTAGAGAACGTAGTTTTGAAAATCATTAGATGTCACTGTCAGCAGGCACGGATGTACATCGCCATCAACCTCTCAGACCAAGGAATTTTCGATGCGAAACTTGATGTTTCCATGAGTGTACACTGTTTTTTTTCAAATCAATAAATATATTTGTGTACATTTAAAACGTTTAGTATATAGAACATTTACCTGAGTATCGTTTTAAGCGATTCACAAGTAATGTGATACAGTAATGAAAATGATGTTAATGATATAGGTAGTAATGTGATACACAATTACGGCAATATGATATAAACGTAATATTTATCGATTAGTATTGAATATGTGTTACGGGTTGTGATTAGTGTGCCGTGGGGTAAAAAGATTGGGAAACTCTGCTACAAACAGTAAATATCCAAATTCTTATTGTCAGTGACGGTTCACTTATCGTTGTTTCAATCTTCTTATTAAATGTTCAACAATTATCAGTCCTCCATTTACATCATTTGTCTTATAATTGTATTCCATTATATCATAACGAATCCACACCACCCTGACGTTTCGACTTCACTCGTTCATACAACTTAATATACACAGCCAGTGTCAAAATTCTTATTCAGATCGTTTTCCTTTTTCTTTTAATCAGTCACTGACGCATTCATCTAGTAATGACGTTCGTGTCGATCGACCGGGCAGTTCCCACAACTTCACTTCTTTCTTCATTCATCAACTGTATTTTGAGTTTAGGTGACAACTTCATTACACATTAATGACGTCAACTGGAGCCCTGACCTATCCGTTTCCATGTTGCCTTTCGCTGGGCTCTTCTCGCACGACCTGTCCCGCTCAACGTCACGAGACTAATCTCTGATTGTCAGTTGTAATTTATGTCATTAATTTATTTTTATGCAATTTCTTGAAAATATTTACATTTGCACCAACAATTCGGGATATTTTCTCTGCAGTGTTTATTTTCGACCATTAGGTTAAGGTAAAGCCTTCGATGAACCTGCACACAGCAGGATCACACACAGATAGTGTTAGTACTTCATCTGCTGTCGAAAGTTCATGAAAAACTTGGTTTAATTTATCACCCCTGTCAACAGAGTCGTTAACAGCCATTAGACGTTTTCTATTTCTAAGGAGCAATACTTTTGCTTTTCAAATTATGCCAGACAACTACTCTTTCTGGTACCTTCACTCTTTATTCAGAAGTAGTGGGTCTCAAAAAATCATGAAGGAAACCTCAAACAATCGTGAAGGAAACTTGCTCTTTTACAAGAACACATTGTATGCGAGTTTACTTTCTCTTTATTACGTTCTTTCGTAATAAAAATAAAGTATTGTAAAATTGCGGTGTAAATTGGCGATTTGTTTTATTAAAACTAAAATTGTAGGTCCCTGATGGTGTAAAAGTGCTACTTTATGAAGTAAATTGCTCCATTTAATACGCCGGGAAGGGGTCCACGTGGTCGATGTGACTGTCCGCCACGAGGATGGGTCTAGTCTTCTGAAAGCAGGGGAGGAAAAGGTGGTAAAATACCAACCAGTCATCCCCCTGGCAGCCCAATTTCATGGAGTACCCAACGCCAGAATCCTGCCAGTGGTGGTTGGAACCTCTGGGGCTATGTCAAAATTTACAGTCAGTGCCCTAAAGAACCTGGTGTCACGTCTCGAGGCGATCTACTGACTATCTCGTTAATTGCTCTCAGAAGCCCTATTAAACTTTACACACAATTTGTAAATTACGATGGAGCAATTTAGCATTGCTGGTAGTAAATACAGGAAAGAAACTTCGTTGTCCTGTGAGGAAGTCTACGGAACCCATTGGATCCTAAAATGCATAGGAATTACCCAGTGACCACGACTTTAAATGGGAAGTGTATGCTATTAAATTAGCATATAGAAAATTGTGTAAGATTAGATTGTGGAATTGCTTTACGACAAACCGTATGTCTGTCCGTGAACAACATTAGCGACTAAGCAGTCCTTCAGAATTGATATTATGTGATCGATCTGGCTGAATTCGATGCCCTGCAGATTTGAAGTGGATTTTTTGATTTTGAGAGGCACCTTTCATGAAGCCTCAATGACATTTTTATTTTCAAAAATGGCTACAAATATTATATTTCTTTCTCACATTCAGCAATATACGTTTAAAAAAATGACACAATCATATTTTGGTTAAACACTGAATTTTCGAAAATTGTGAAAGTTTAAATTTGGTCGGCGTTTTCCTGTAACTGCAATATTCAAAATAGACATTGTACCTTTAAGAAATTTGTTCTTCATACATACATCTTTAAATAAGGTCATGTGCAATTTTCCAAAATATGAGTTGCGTCTCTTCAACTTTATTTTTAAAACGTCGGGAGGGTTGTCATTCTATCTGAGCTACATGTATTTTGGATACGTTCATAAATTCTAATTCTAAATCTAAGCCTCCAGCTTTCTAAACCTAAAAACATGAGTTCGAATCCCATCGTAGGCAAATACATCACGAGTTAGAAATATATTTTGTAGGTTCAAATAGTACTTAATGTGATCTGTTTTATTAATTTCTTTCAGGTTACTGGCCCATTCAGATGAACCGTTACCTAATGATCAAGCACCCACTTTGGAAGTAATTGATCCAGTAGTAGAAAATGTGAACGAAATGGATTTGGATAGAAATGCTGAAGCTCAACCTGATACAAGTGAGAAGAAACCTGGGGAGCAATCTGGTAGTGGAGAAGAACCTCAAACGGAAACAAGCGAGGAAGCAAAGTCGTTCAAATGTGATGAGTAAGTGTTTTTATTTCCATTGCTATTCCAAAATCTTTATATTTATGTTGATTTCCTGGCCGATCAACTGCTGTGGTCATTAGCCCCGTAAGCATAGCGCATACTACTTGTGTACATCCCTGGATATGGCTGTGTTGCTCCTCCGCTGGAACGTGAGATTTGACGCGTCGAGCTACACGATGGCTTCTGGTATCGTCCCCAGCGGGTAGGGGGGTACCCCACCAGCCGGGACGCATAGAAGCAAATTGCTGGGTTGGATGCAGAGACAAATTTTGGAGGGGGAAATTTGTGTGTGTGTGTGTGTTGATGAATTGCGGGTTCAGTTTTTCCGAAAAAAAGTTTAAAAGATACTTCTGGGCGCGAAATTCAAACCTGCTTCCGCGACACTACAGACGCCCACCCTGCGTCTGCCAACGGGGCTGCACTTTGCGTCGTTTCTGGGCGTTTTCGGTGAAATGATCGAGTGAGGTAAATTGCTTGCCGCGAAATAAGTTATTTTAACAGCAGATTTATGTGCACTATTCATTTAATCTATTAAATCTACTTCAATTCATTTTTGCTGTTATAACCACGGTGTTCAGCGGCATTACAATGAACAAAGCTTAACGGAAATTAACAAAATTCCTAGAATTCTCCAATTATGTTTTACGTTTCTTCAGTGTGAACTACTGTCATCTGCTTAGAGTGTCACAGACGATAAACGATAGTGCCTTGCATTTCTTTTCCTTAACATCATCATGACAATTAATGTTAACTGTGCTTTGCTAAAATATTGATTCATTAAAACCGTTTACCCGTTGCAATATTGGCCCAACTCGAAAAATAAATTTTCGAGATAAACGCTTTAAATTTTTAAGTGATGGTTGAATTACAGGTACCACTCACTTAGTTACTGGTGCAATAATGATTAAGCATTATTAAAAAGCATCATAGAAGTTCTGTTAATAGTAACAATTATAAAATATTTTAAATGAGTGTCACACATGAAATTCGTATTATTCTTTCTTCGTTCGAAGTAGAGAGAATGTAATGTAATGCTGCGCGAAAAAAAATGTTCCTTAAAAATAGATTTTGAAATTTTGAGTACTTTTCACATAATTTTGCTGAAAATACGGGAGAGAAAGTACATGCTGTTTTCGCACCACTAGTTTGAGTTGTGCCAGTGTTGCAGCCCACGAAGGAAATATTGAGTTTATTGATTATTTGTAGGCTTGAAGTTCCAACCTATGCTTCCGCAAATTTCATTTTGGGCGGCTCTGGTTAACGATAGCCTGCTTAGATGATCCGATAAATGATTGTTCACAACTTAGGGGCTTCTCCCCCTCTAATGTAATTGCTCCCCGTGAAGTTTACCTCAAATAAAAATATTTTGGGAAAGAATAGGTATTTAATGCATTTCTTTAAATCAGCCTAGCTAATTGCGTTATTATTGCTTAGGGCTAATTCTGTGAGCTGATGTGACGAACTTTATGGATCGGCTAGGAATGTATTTTGATAGGGTCTGTTTTTGCCAAACACGCTCAACGATTCTCTTTGGAGCATCGACCTCGCGACAATGGCTCCAGGACCCGCGTAGAGTTCTCGCCGATGAAAGTGTATTTTGGCTTCGCTTTCCTGTTCAGTAGGCGAGGTAAACGCATGTCGCCCTCCTGAAGCCTTGAGAAAATCCGTAAAATGGTTTCTGGACAATGGGAAAATGGTTGGGAACATTTGTTCGTCTGGCTGTGTCTCTTACGTACGATACATTAAATGCGTGTCTTTTTCTTTTTCAATTGATCAGTATCCGGTAACGGCAGGTTCAAAAGTCTACCTCACGATAGAATCGTCTATGTGACCAATAAACTGACTAATGTGCGCGAAGCATACTTTTTTTTTTTCGTTTTTTACTTTTTTGCTGAAACACCATATTAGTAAACTATTTTGTAATCGTCACACGGTGCATATGACATTTTCATACTGTGAAGCATGAACACCGCGTAGGATTCATTGGCTATGCACACAGATGTGTACTACAAATATTCATCAATGCAATTGTCGGCCGATGGCTATAGTGTAGCTGCTACACACAATAAAACTGGCGAAAGCGTTAGTTCAAACTGCGAGGCCAGAAATAATTAATGAACTTAATATTGTAATCACTTAACATGTCAAGATTCCGTTTCCATGTGTCATTTTATTAAGGTAAGAAACTGTAGGGGACTTTCATTTATCGTATGTGACTTTCTAAAGCATGGGACATTAGTTCAAACTGAAGATCTGCAAAAAATAATTCGAATATTCTAGGAATTTTGTTAATTTCTGTAAGGCTTGATTCGTATTAAAAGTTAATTATGTCACTAAACAACGTGGTTATAACAAACAGCAAAAATTATTTTTTCGATTTTTTAGATTAAATGAATAGTACGCATTAAATACTTGGTGGTGTTAAAGACCTCTTGTGCGCGGCGAGCGATTTACCGTACTCGACAGATCCACCGAAAATGCCCAGAAACGACGTTTAAGTTCAGCCCCCTCGACAGACGCTTTTAACAATATTAGATGTAATATTTAATGTAATGTTTAATGAATTTATGGTTTTAAATTAAAAATAGTAGTAATTTGTTATTAGAATCTTGAATGCTGTTGCACGCTGAGGCAACCATCCCATCCAAACTCTGCCAAACGCTTCTAGCAGCTTCTGGAACATTTTAAAATACTAATCGGTGATCGGCTATTGCACAGCCCTTCCATGCACCATGCGCGCAGAAGATTCTGGCGACGTTCCGACGCCGTTAACGAATCTTTAGTCCGAGTTGAATACGAATTACGTAAGGTAAAAATTTCCCTTGCGTAGTCTTTTATTTAATATTCATTGAACACAATGTAATTCATTACGCGAACTCGGGTGTTAGTTTGTGTATCGCAAGTTCAAGTTGAATACGGCACCAATGCACACGTAAGTGCATGCCGCCTTGTGCTCTGCAAGGTAGTCATATTTCCCTTACCTGAGCCACTTCGCTCGGTAAGGGGTTGGATAAAATCTGATCATGCTATATATAATTAATAATAATAATAATAATAATAATAATAACAACAACAAGAACAATAATATACCCGCCCTCTGCCATTTTGCATTACTTTGATCTCACAATCCAGACAGTTCTCGCTAGTTGACTTGGTTACAAGCTCCATGGCGAAGAAAGACCAGTAGCGCATTTGTTTTACATGGATGATCTTAAAAGTGTATGCTAACAGTGAAGCGAATGTCTTCAAAATTCTGTCTGTCGTGAATGACTTTAACAATGCCATCTGCATGAAGTTTGGTCTTGACAAGTATGCGAAAATCAATTCAAAGAGGCAAAGTGACAACATCAAAAAGCATTGAAGTTGATCTGCACATTGTAATTCAAGATCTTAGCCAGGTAAAACTTTCAAATATGTTGGCATTGCAGATAGTGAGACCATTTCGAACGACACAATGAAAGAATTCGTTGGGAATATTACAGAAGAGCGAGACTCGTCCTGCAGTCCGCCCTGAACTTCAGGAATAAAATACATGTAATTGGTAGTTTGGCGTTGCCTGTAGTCGAGAACAGTTTCGGACTCGTGGACTGGACTGAGCAAGAAATTCGAATGATGGATCGAAAAAACCGAAAACTGATGACAATGCATTATATCGCCCACCCTTGGGCTGATGTTCATATACTTTGTGTCACGTAAGGAAGGAGGAAGACATACAAATTGAAGCCTCCTGGCACAATGCAATAATCGGGATGGGAAAGTTTGTAGTCTGGCATCACGATGCCCCTCTGATGAAGCAGGTTATAAAATCTGACCGAAGAATGGAACACAGGGGCATTGTTAGTGTCGCAAGAAGGTTTGCAAAGAAACCTATGCGAGACACGCAGAATAACACAGACACTGTACTTCTGATGCTACTAAACATGTAACGTGAGACGCAAAAAATGTAAAAGAAATCGTGGAGAGACAAATCACTCCATCGACATTATCTAAAAAAATTGGACAAGGTGCAGATCAATAAAGATTATGTGGCTTTGAGGGGAAGAATGAAGCAGCTCTACAGAGCGATTTAAATCAAATGTCTGTTCTCTGCTTTATAGAACATTGGTTATTTCATAATGAATTTCGTATTTTCCAAATTCCAAACTTTTACCTTGAAGGCTATTATTGTAGAGAAAAGGAATCGTATAAAGGTCCTGCAATATGGGGTTCTTGTTGTTAGAAATAAATACGTTAAAAATAATAAATCTCCTTTACGGAATTAAATGTGTATTCTGTTGAAAATGTTTTTGAAATGTCTGTAGTACATCTTCCTACGCTAAACATAATATTGCTTGCATATACAGACCCCCTACAAAGAGATCAACAGATTATATTATATTCTTATAAAAACTGTAGATAACACTAAACAAATACAGCAATCGCTCTTTTGAATCCATTGTCGTAGGCCGAGGTTTTACCATTGATTTTCTGGTCGAATCTTTCGAGAAAGAGCAGTTTCTCAACATTATTCATTCCTTCAGTTTATATATTACAATAAATGTATCTACATGGATCACACTAAATTCAAAGGATATCAATCAAATAATAAACAAAACCACTACCCGATAAGAAATTCAAACAACAGATTTAGGGTACAGTGATATCGATGAACAAATTCTTAATATTATAAGAAACCTTGACACATTAAATAATACAAGTATGAGTAGATCGTTCACTAAAAGTAAAATAAAGTTATTCGTCAATTACCTGCTGCGGGAGTCATGGGACGTCGTTTACAATACTGTTGATACAAACGATAATTTTTTTTTTTTTTTCTTCTTCCAACACTATCACTTTATTCCTTACGCTTTCCTCTTCAAAAAAGAGAATTAAATAATTCACGGAAAAGCAATTCTTGAATTACACAAGGGATTAAGGCATGTAAAAAACAAACGAATTATTTCTTTCATTTCTAAGCTTTATAACGTATCTAAAGATGTCCTCCTCTAATTTAAAAA